TGGTTGAGGCGTGTTGTCTGTCTAAACCATTTAGCCTATGGCCATACAATAAAACAATATTATAATATTCTATCGTCGATTGTGAGTATTATAATGACGATGTGATGTGAGAATATTATAATAAGTAGGACCGTTGTTATTTGTGTTTTCACGATTTCCTACCGCATGATACTGCATGCCGTGATGTTTTAATTAAATTAATTATATTATATAGGCCATTTTTTGAAATGAATAAGTTAAAAACACTCATTTTCTTGAAAAGTTTCGATTTTTTTTTAATGCGCAGTAAAAGTAAATTATTAACAGTCTTTAAAATAGTTAAAAAATAATAATGATATTATTTCGTAGATATTAAAAAATATTTCTTTTTCCAAAAATTTTAATTTGAAATGCTTCTAAAAGAAGACATTAGTAGTTACGTAAAAAAACATATTTCCAAAAATGTTAATGATGTTTTTAAAATAATCTCTATTAGTATAGTCTTCCACTGTACGCCATTTAAATAATTAATATACTTCTTATTATTATATGTTATTATTTAGTACGATTAGAATTTCTTGCAGTCTTTTATAGTTATATAATTATATTTACAGTTTAGTCCATAATAATAATTATAATACTACCATGCAAGCATATGATCTAAGCAGGCCTGTGTGTAAGGCGGGGTTGGGGGTTCAAACTCTCCCTGTTACCTTATATATAAATATATATATATATATATATATATATATATATATTTAGATCAACATTTATCAGATTTATCGAATTAAAAGAAAGTTTCTTTCTGCAAAACTTCTTAAGTAAAATGTGTGATCAAAAAGCTATAATTTATAATAACTTTTCATATATTTAAAAATTAATACAAGTATTATAGTACCTATTTTTTTTTTATTCTTCTAATTTATTTGTTCATAATCCTTTACATAAAGAAATCCTGTGCGGGGTCTTAGATCTAAGCTCTATTTAAGATTGCACATTGATAAAATATGTGTGTATGCAGGGCTTATAAAATCAAAGTAAAACTTGGTGAATAGTTAAATATTTGGGTATTATTTTGTATTTGTGTATTGTAATTGATTCGGATAATTCATATATTTATATGAATATCTATATTATTATTATTATTATTATATTTTATATCTTTTGATAGATCCCATATATATTTTTTTTTACTATAGTATCCTCCAAGTCATTGAGGTTTATGAAAAAGTATTTACACTATAAAAATATACAAAAAAAGAGATTATAAAAAATTTGTACAGTGATTAATTTTATAACTTAGGTATTTATTAACTTTGAAGTGATGACGAAATTGACTTTTGAATTTGTTGTATCTTGGGAATTGTTCAACTATGTGGAAATATACTCTAAAAGATTGGCTTTTTCTCTGAATTCTTCGAATGTAAAGCATTCTGTTACTATATACTTGATATTTAGGTGGACTCCGCATGAAAGCTAAATAGATGGATCTTAGGATCTTATATTGTATGTGTCATATATGTTAGATCTACTATGAAATAGTTGTTGATTAATATATGTACCCCACAAGTATTTATTGCAGTTAATAAACGGAAAAATATTTTATAAGTATACTTATATTTTTAAGTTGCCGTTGCAGTCAACGAACCGTTGTCATTTTTTTTCAATATTTTAGCCTATACTCATTAAATTTAGATTATAACGATGTACTTTGAAAATACAAAAAAATACAACTGTGTTATTGTCTTTTAAACAATTCAGTACAGTAAAAAATTTATAGTTTAGTAATTGTTATACACTTTTATATTTAAATAAATTGTGTGATTAAAGTACGAGTATATTATAAGTGAAGATATCCATGATCACAATAATCATAATAGTGATAAAGACTACCTCCTTCGCCTATTTCCCACTATAACATAATTATAAATTTATACATACGTTATCACACTGGTGCTGACTTGTATTTCATTTAGTGGGGGAAAGTATAAAAATTAGTTACCACCAACACCCAATAATTTAGAGTAAAATAATGACCGACCATATCATTATATTGAAAATGCAACCATCGCAAAGCCGCTTGCTTAACTCGCAATTTATCACTCCTATTGTAATATAAATACAGTATACTATTTAACCTAATAAGTATTAATTAGTAAATAGTTATTGTTTCTTACATATCCAAGTATATATTTAACGTGTGTGAAGTTAGCCCCTATATTGACAAAATCAAACCAGATCGACTGTAAGTTAAAGATCTTCATTTGTAAGTATTTGTAAGTTAATTTTCGAAATTTGTAAGTTGGTCTTAACTAAGATAAGTGCAGCCCTAGATTAATCATCAGTATATATTTACCCATTCACAAATTGTCTCTTATTCTTTTATGATTATCACATTATATATTTCTAACTTATCATTATATAATACATTCATATCTCAACCTTTAACACACTGATACATACAAAATATCAATGCTACAGGCTACAAACATTATTGTTAAACCTACATTTTTAGTATTTCTAACACTTAATTTTTGTTTCTTTTTTCTCTATATTTGTCAATAAATGTTTTTCGTTAAAAGTTAGAGTATTCAGAAATATAACCTTATAACATGTCATTAGTAGTATTACTAGTATTTAAAAAAAAAAAACAACTAACAAAGAATTAAGACAAAAATAATCATTATCACATATATATTATTCTTAAAAGAAGCTTTATTGCTTCATAACATCTTACTAGATGATATCTAACAGTATCTTATACTGTCTACTGACATTAATTTTAGAATATAATGTAATCCTGAATATATTGTAAAATCAATGCTACTGATCGATTGTCGCAGAATTTGTATATTCTTAAGATTTACAAACTGAAGTGTTAACTTACTCGCTCATCCGAAACCCATCGACCATCACCATAGTAAAATACAGGGGCGAACTGCCCCATAAAAGTACGTGTTTTGTGGTTATTATAGTGGTTGCTGTTTAGGTACCTACCTATAATATTTTTTATTGAAAGATTTCATGTTAGTATTTTTATATAATTATAGTGAGTTTATAAATTATGTGATTTATTTATTATAAATTATAGTATACAGTCGATTTTAAATAACTTTTATGGTAGATAAAAACAAAATTTCCATTTAATTTGAAAATGATATGCGTTTTACATTATTGAGTGTACAAAGGAATCTAAAAGGATAAGAAAAATTCACATAACCGAGATTTTTTCGTGTATTTATATATATATTTTTAAATACGTATACATTAAGTATGTAATTAACTATGTATAATAATAAACACACGCATTATTATGAATGTTGCAATCTATTAACATAACTTTTATAATTGATTATTGTAATATTAATGAACTATATAAATCATTGTCCTAATAAAATCAAATATTATTATGTTTGCATTTCTAGTATGCATATTTTCATTTATCTCAATAACAAAATTGTATTCACACGGCGTTATAAATAGGCTATTCTGGTGCACTTCGGTCGTGGATCTAATTTTATAATAGTATATTATATTTTTTTAGTAAATATTTTTTAATAATTTTATAGATCTATATTTTTAACGTGATATTAAAATAAATTATTATAAATACAGAATGTGAAATACAATATGAAGTTAATTATAAGTCTTTGATTTTTAAAAGAAATGAACAGTTGAATTGTTCTATATCATGAGATAAATTATGTAATCATAGGTCGCTGCATCTTATTTTTTAATGTTTGATAAAATATTTTATTTTTTAAAATACAATTGTACATTTGTACCTTACTATTTTACATTTTTTGTTTTAAAATTTAAACTATAACGAATTTTTTCCCGTAGAATATAATATGAAGACAATATTTTAAGTTATTATTTTTCCATTATTATTTAATATTAAAAATGAATTGTTATAATATGTAATCAAATGATATATATATATATATAACTTAACAATACTATTAGGTTGTAATTTTAAGGAACTATTATAATACCTATGCATACTTTATTTTCGATCGATTTACCTTTGTTGCAATATTTAAATTATTAAATTGATTTTCAATTATTGTGCATTAAAAAACTAAAAATATTGTTTGATTTTTACACAAAACGCAAACGTAACATAATTGAAATGATGCTTTTTAATATATATATATAGTTTATTATTAATATTTAGTACCTAAATTTAAATAATATATAATTTATTTATAAAATTAGTATGGATTATTATATGGGACACGTCGATTAGGTCGTTTACCACGCTAATAGTGTTAAAATTATATTCAATAGTTCTAAATGATGCGATAGCATCCATAAATTTGAGGATTTTTCAACATAGTTGGGAGTAAATTTAGTGTGTTTATCGATGTCCATGCGGAAATGCACGACGAGTTTAATCCTAGCTAGAGTAGTTAATATCACATCATCCGTCCATCCCTATTTCTATCTATTCGCGCAGTTTAAATGTTGGTGCAAAAAATGAATACATAACAAAAATATTAAAATAATGATAACTTAATGAAACGTAATATATTATATATTTATGTTGGTGAGTCCTCGGACAATCGTGAAAATATTTACGAATGTTTGTGATTATAATGTCTGCACGGACTGACGAACACGACGACCAATGGAATACTAATGAGTAATGACTTATGTAATATATTCCGAGAACATTATAGCGACTACAGCATGTACACATAATATATGTATATATATAATTTACACACACAAAATACATATATACAATGTTGGCAGCGCCGTGCGGTGGCGGCGGCGGCACTCCAGTTCACCTGTTCTCCGCGTCGTTCCCGCCGCGCGGCCGTTCCAGCAGCCATCCGAACCACTCCATGTGAGTAGTCCTTCGGATGCTCTCGTACTGTACGCCGGACGCGTTTATTTATATTATTATTATTATTATTATTACTATTTAGTAGTTTATTATTAAGTTAAGTTTTATTTCTTTTAATTTTATATTTATATTGGCGTGTATTATTTTTGTAAATTATTTCTGCGTGCGTGTGTGTATATATGTGCTTGTGTGAGTAGTGCGTGTTTAAAATATTTACGTGATTAGTAATAATTATTATACTTGACGAATAGAAAAATTACGAAATATCCGATGTACAGCAAAACATTCGTGTCTTCGTTGCTTAAGCGGTGGATCCAGTCGTTTTGATCGAGGTTAGTTGATTGGAAACTTGGAAAACAAAAATAATCGCAGTATTTTATAGACAAAAATAACTAATATAATATGTAATTAAATGTTTCAAAATTAATCGTTAGACATTACTATGATATTTTTTGTATAGATATTTTATTTATATATATAGGTGCACTTACATATACAAAATACATATAGATCAAATATTTATAATATAGTCATCTAATTTTGATTAGATTTTTGGATTTAGACGCTTAGAATATTATTTTATATTAAATATTTTACTCAAAATGTTGATTTTCTTTTATCAATAGATTTAACGGATTTATGATATTATTAATATTTATAAAATATATAATTTTTTAAAATTTTTTTAACATAATAATAATTAGTAGAGTAATGTTAAATAGTTTAATATTTTTAAATACTTCTCAAAATAAAATCTATGCTTTAGAATAACGTTTAAGTTTTAATAAAATATTTGAATTGAAAATTAAATTCTTTAAAAATACTGTATACGTTTTTAGATGTAAAAAAAAAATGTAAATTAAGAACGTGTATAAATAGCAAACACAAGTGTACATGAATAAATTATTAAAATAATATCAGTGCGGTATTACCTCTTTAGTTATAGGTATTATGTTTCAGTTTAAATTCATCAATAATTTTTTATATCTACTTGTATTATATTATAATAATAATAATAATAGTGAAGTTGTAGTGATACCGAAAACAATAGTTAGGTATATATATATAAAAAAAAATTATCATCAACCTTCATTATATATATTTTCGAGCATAATTAGATTAAGGGATTTTACCTATAATATTAAATCAATATTATGTTAAGATTCTTATTAATAAGCACCATATTACATTTTATTGATTGGAAATTAATGTTTTTTGTTGAGAATATTTCTTTTTTCTATGGTTCTACTAAATGTATATACATTTTTTTGTAGGAATTAACCATGAAATTTCTTTTTATAACTGTATAAAAGGCGAATTTAAATCTTTTAATGAGTGAGAATTAAAATAATTTTTATACAATTTATATGAAAATATATTTTAACGGTAAAAAAATATATTTCATTACTACTCAAATAATAAGATAATAGTTAATTTTTATAATATTCTAAAATATGTTTATTATTAATAGTAAAGACATAATTTAATTGTAATTTTATAAATTTTTTTTTTCTGCCAAAAAAAAAATAAAAATAATATTGAATAGTCTCTAATTTTGTTACCATATACATTTTACTAACGATTAATACATCTATTTCAAATAATGATATTCATGGTAATTTTATTGTTATTTACAATATGAGTTTTTGAATATGTTGTCGTAATAAATTAAACAAGATTTATTTTTTTGTTATACATTGACCACTATAAAATATGCATCTATTTTTATTTTATGAATTATACGAAATGTAAGTTAAAGTATATTATACTGTATAATATCAAATAAATGTATTGCTTATATTCATTATTTATATAATTTACTATTAAGAATTAACACTATATTTTTAAAACTTTTCATTTTATTAGTATGTATTTTTAATTAAATAAAATAATATTTATTATTCTTTTATGTTACATTCGAGTTAAAATAGTAGTTATGTATTTTTGCGTATTAGAGATATTACTAGTTTCTATTAAGTAGGTAATAAAATAATGATTTAAAATATACGTTTAGCGATTTATTTCTTTTAAACTGTAGAAGTATTTTTTTATTATAATATCAATTTATAAAAATAATCCAAACATAATGTTATGTTGTTTCATTTCCTTAGCTTTGGTTCTTTTTTACGAGATTTTTGAATATATATTATTATAACCAGTGAACATAAGTATATTTAAAATTTCAAGGTTGGAAATTTTAATGCAGAATATAAATGTATTTTAATGTTTTAGCTTATTATCCATTTTAATTAAAATAAATATAATTACTCATTAGTACATAATTTAAAAATAGCTATAATTTATTTATTTTATTATTATATACAATACATAATATATTAATAGAAAAAATATCTAGTATACTAACATTAAAAAAAAAAAAAAAAACAACAAAGATATGTAGATACTTACACATTTATAAAATATAGATTAGTAATTTTATAAAGGCTGTGTCCGTAAATATTTAACTAAATAGATAATTTATTTAAAATTTCCCATTTATTATTGATTTTATTCTATTAAAATTTATCATAATAGTCATACGAATTTTAATACTTTATTTTTCCAATAATTTTGCATCTATTTGACTAATTTGAATGTTAATCAAAGAGTCTTAGGTACAAATTGTTGTATACATTAATATAATGTTTTAATTTTTATAATGACATAGTTTCAGTAAGTATAGTATTAGAGCAATAATTTATCGTCTGATCGACCAGGATTTTTTTCTTTATTTTATTTTTTTGTAAATACTCAAAGTGGACGTTTTCATTACATTTTTTACCTACTCGTTGGTGTCAAGATTGCCCAGGAAGATAGTATAATAATATTTTTTAAAGTCAAAATATGCAATGATGTATGTAGCGTATCTATATAAAATGTTAGGGCTGATTATAATGAATAATAATATAAAATTAAATTAAAAAAATATTTTTTTATTGAATTTTGACGATATTGTATTAGCTGTGTGATGATTTTCTGACATAAAAACAAAAGATTGTTGCATATTAGTCGTATTATTACAATAATATGTTATAGTGTTTATGTGTTGGAAGCGGTGGCCAATTTATTAACAGGCATTGGAGACTTGGAAACGTGACGGACGCGCGACGTACGCGCGTAGCATATCCTATGATGCAGGCCACTGTCGTCGCGCGACGCTAACACTATGTTCTCCATGCCGAAGGCACTTCTAAATTCCTAGCTTAAATCACAGTGTATGATTTTATAGTATATAGCCAATGGTTTTAAAATTATTACTATAATTTGTGATTTCCAATGTACATTGCAATGCATAGTATATGCTTCTATTAGGCAGACTATAATATGATGATTTTGTATTTCTGAAAATGTTTTGTGTCTTATTTTTTATTAGTCTTCTACGTTTAGTATGTTTGTATTTGTCAATACCGCACACTGTTTGAATAATGCTATTGACCATGATTGAATTAATATATTATGCACTACAATATTACATTACAAATAAAAATGATGCAGACGTTTTCAATGTATAGTTTTATTTATTATTTGTTAGTTTTATGTTATAACACATATTTATAATCAAATAATTCTCAAATCGTATGACTTTATGTTTGATTCAAATACTGTACATGGTATTATTCTATCGATAATCAGGTTTAATATAATAGTATATTGTAAATAATGGAACTTAATATATTACGAGACAGATTATTGTGTAATTCATATATAGTTATATACAAGTTTATAACATCATAACTATTAAGTTTAGAAGAATTCTTATATTTAACCAGTAAGTTGGAAGATATTATACGTGAAATTCATCCATTATAGCTATTTTCATAGTTATAGTTGAATATAATTTTGAATCGACTATTTATTAATTTATATAAAAATATTTTCTTATAATACACAACATCAGTGATATATTTTATTAAATTAAAATTAAATTGTGTAAATATTGATAGTAATTTGTATTTATTATATTTTCATAAAAATAACGAGTGATATAATGAATAAAATAAATATAAGTAATAGTGTACTAAAATAGATGTATAAAATTGTTAAAGTTCGATGATAATTGAAATTGTGTGTATTGAGCTATAAGTTATAATACAAGAATGCATTTGAAACTCGAAATAACAACTTGGGCTTACATAAAAAATAATACATACATTTTTATATACACCTAATTAGAGAAGGTATATTATATTCGTTGAACAATTTTGTATAATTTTTTAAATTTCCCAATTAAAAACTTGTAAAAGATTTTTTGGACTTTGTTGAAGATAATTATAATTTTATTGTTTTTAAACATTTTGAAAATATTAATTTTAAATCAATGCGCCTTTTCCCCTCTTTATTTATCTATGTAAAAATAACTAATGATGTTGTAAAAATTGAAAATTTATTTTTTATGATTAATGATCAGTTATTTTATATCAGAGTAAACTGTTAATAATATATACACTTGGAAAAAAAATAGTTCATATGAACAAAGGATATTGACAAAATAGAAACTCTTTGACAATAAACACGGTTAAATGGTTAATGGCAGATAAAGTATTATGTGTAGGGAAAGGGGAAATGGAGTACCTAACAAACAATAAATACGTATGTCTGGAGCATTGATGACTTTCCGGTTGACCAGATGACTCAAAAAAGACAACTTTGTGATACGTTTCATATGTTAATATGTTTTTGAATATCATCACCTGTTTGTTCTGGTTTGATTAGAATTTAAAAATATTATTCTATAGTTAAAGAAATTTTATAAAATAACTGTTTTATAAGAAAGTTCTAGGAGAAATAATAATTATTATTCGTATGAATATATAATGTTCATGAAGATAATGTTAAGCCTTATGCTTTGTTTGTACAAAAGTCATTTACTAATGTTAATTTTTTTAATTTTAAATTATACGAGTACATAATATTCATGTTTAATATTAAGATTAATTTTTGTTTCGAAAATAAGGCATGGTAAATACAATATAGTGTATTTCTCATAAGTTATAACACACAGTTATGATATTCATATCATCATATTTACTTATTATATAGATTGTATATAGATTGTAAATTTTCTTAAATAAAAAAAAAAAAAAAAGTTATAACACACGGGTTTAAAACCAGAGATAGTGAACATGAAAAAGAATTTTTAAATCTTTAAATGCATGCATGTACCTACGTATGATAATACATCAAAATCAATAAATTATATTTTAAATTTGATCGTTTATAAAATTATATTTTTATTAATGTAAAATCGATATTGCTAAATCCTTTGACTTTAATTGAATTTTATAGTTATAATAAACATTTTCTCCACTGTGGAATTTTATTGAATCATTTA